GAGCGCTGTCGAGCCAGGGACTTGCTCGCGCTGTGTGTCTGTGCAGCACCCGGCACAACGGGGCCCTGATCTCAGCTGGGGCAGGGACTGTCTCTCGCTGTGTGTCTGTGCAGCACCCGGCACAACGGGGCCTGATCTCAGCTGGGGCAGGGACTGTCTCTCCCTGTGTGTCTGTGCGGCTCCCGACACAATGGGGCCCTGATCTCACCTGGGGCAGGGACTGTCTCTCCCTGTGTGTCTGTGCAGCGCCCGGCATAACGGGGCCCTGATCCGAGTTGAGTCTCACTGCTACAGAGCAAGTAAGTATAATTTTTATTTTGCATTCAGAAATGGCTTCACCATGTTTTGGGAGTTAGCAGCTGCCTCATTCAAAGGAGTTTTATTCTTTTTCTCCTGGGCTGAGACAACTTTAATCTGTACCTAAAATCATTTCTATTTTTTTTCAATCACCTTTTCCTGCAGGGTGTCAAGCCAAGCCAAGGAGGCACTGTGGGAAGAGCAGGAATGTTGGCTTGAGGTCCAGTCTGCTTCATCCTCAGAGAAAAGGTAACATTTTCCATGGTACCCAATCCAGTTTTCAGGGCAGCAGGTGGCAGGGCTGTCCGGAGTGGTCACATTGGCCTTTGGTACTGAAAAGTAAAAAGGGGTAAGAGCATCTTTCTCCCAGCCCACCTCTGGATCTGCCGGGAATCAGAGGGCCAAAACCCCTCAGACACAGGCTCCAGAACGTCTGGTGGCTGCTGAAAGGGACTAAAATTATCAGCAATAAAACGGTGAGATTTATAGGGAGAAATGATCCCAAAAGCAAAGTCAAGCTCCCACTTGGAAATCAGGTTGTGTGATAGAACCCCCTGGACTGTACAGCGAAAATGCCCATCTATCAAATTTATTCACAGACACAAACTCTGGGTGTTACCTTCAGGGCAGGGGTGTTGAACAGTTTTCCTATTTAGGGCAGGACTCTCAAAACTGCTCAGTGCTGGGCTAACGCTGCTCCCATGGAAGTCAACGGTAATTCCCACACGCACACATACACCCCCCAAAGTATTGCTGTGACCTGCATGGCACAGTCAGATTCTGTAACAATCATTAAATAATAATAAAAATACCTAGTCCTTATATAGCTCTTTTAAACCATCGATCTCAAAGTGTGTTACAGAAGAGGTCAGTATCATTATCCCCATTTTACAGATGGGGAAACTGAGACACGGATATATGAGATGACTTGACCAAGATCATCCAGTTGCAGAGCTAGGATAGAACCCAGGGCTCTTGAGAGCCAATCACTCTAACCACTAGACAACATGGCCTCTCTGTAGCCACTCAGCTTTCACCTTTTTAAAAACATCACATTCTAGCCTTCATGGTAGCAAAGAGAGCCTTCCAAATGTGTCCCAAGCCAATCCACGCTGCAACAGCTGCCTGAGTTTACAGAGAGCTTGAGACAGGATCTGGATCTGAGAGGGGAGAAGCTACCCTGAGTGTAACAGCCACAGCAACATTGCCTGAGTCTGCAGAGAGCCTGAGCCAATTGCTCTGAGGTGTTTGAATTGCCCTCACAGTCAATTAATCACTTTGCAGTGTTCACCCAAAACTCTCACAACGACATGTTAAATACCAGCATTAACTATTTAATTGTTTGTCATTTCAGCAGATAGAATAAGAATGGTTTGGGAGTGAAAAAGAAGGTTCCTCACCTTGCAGGAACTGAGGTTCTTCGAGTGCTGTCCCTGTGGGTGCTCCACTCCGGGTGACGGTGGGCCCCGGTGCCGTTGATCTGAGATCTTCGGTAGCAGTGCCTGGTCGGGACGCATGCACTCAGCTGCTGTCTCGCAGTCTCGTTAGAGTCTGCCTGAGCACGCGCGTCCTGCACCCCTCTCAGTTCCTTCTCTACCAAGGAGAAGTCAGAATAGTACTCCAAAGTAGAGGGGAGGAGGATGGGGAGTGGAGCACCCACAGGGACACATCTCGAAGAACCGCAGTTACTGCAAAGGTGAGTAACTTCCCCTTCTTCAAGTGCTGTCCCTGTGGGTGCTCCACTCCAGGTGAATGTGAAGCAGTACCCTCTATGGCTGGTGGGACTTTGGAGTTGTAGCAGTGACAACTGTAGACAGTACTGTGTGGCCTACTATGGTGTCTGCTGTGGTATTCTGCGTGATAGCATAATGTTTGGTAAATGTCTGTTTGGATGTCCACATGGCCACCTTACAGATATCAGGAATAGGTATGTTACGGAGGAAGACAACAGATATTGACATAGCTCGAGTAGAATGAGTTCTGAGGCCTTCGGGCGGTGGGCATTCTGAATGCAGTAACAGGATCTGATGCAGTCAGAGATCCACTTGGAAAGGCGTTGCTTAGAGATGGCCGCACCCTTCGATCTCTCGGTAGTGGAGACAAATAGCCGCGGGGACTTACAAAATGGTTTAGTCCTGTCTAGATAAAAGGCGATTGCTCGTCTGACGTCGAGGGTATGTAGAGCAGCTTTGTGTGGAGTCTCATGAGGTTTGGGATAGAATGCAGGTAAGTATATTGGTTGGTTAAGGTGGAAGGTGGACACCACCGTAGGGAGAAATCTAGGGTGTGGGTCGCAGGGTGACTATCTTTAGAGAAAGTTGTGTAGGGAGGATGGGCCATCAGCACGCTTATTTCACCTAATCTCCTTGCTGATGTTATAGCAACCAAGAAAGCTCCCTTCATAGGCATGTGGAGAAGAGATGAGGTAGCTAAGGGCTCGAAGGGAGGTTTCATAAGACCGCGAAGAACTAGGTTGAGATTCCAGGAAGCTGCAGATGGATAAATCTCAGGGTAGAGATTTTGCAGGCCCGTGAGAAAGCGTTTTATTGTGGGGTGGGCAAAGAGTGAATATCCGTCCAGCAATTAATGGAAGGTGGTGAGGGCCACGAGGTGTACTCTGATGGAGCTGAGCGAGAGCCTGTCCTGTTTTAGTTTCAAAAGGTAGTCTAGGATGTTGGGGAGGGTCACGGTATGGGGTGTCAAGTGTTTATGGGAGCACCACACAGAGAAGCGTTTCCACTTTTGCAGGTAAGTCTTATGAGTGGAGTCTTTTCTACTATGCAGGAGAACAACCGGACTTGCTCAGAACAGGCTAGTTCGTGGGTCTGGAACCATGAAGGAACCACACCATCGAGTGGAGTTTCTGGAGCTGTGGGTGAAGAAGCCGGTCGTTGTCCTGAGAAAGCAGATCTGGTCTGTTGGGGAGGGTCCATGGAGGACGGATGGACATGTGGAGCAGGTAAGGATACCATATCTGTCTTGGCCAAGCTGGGGCAATAAGTATGACCCGGGCCTTGTAGTCTGTGATCTTGCACAGGACCCTGGGTATCAGAGGGATCGGTGGAAAGGAATGTGACCCGGTGTAACATGTATTTGGATATAACGCGGTAAAGCAGTGCTCTGGGGGGGGTAGGGCTGCACACTCCGGCGGATCAAAGCAAGTTCGATATAACGCGGTTTCACCTACAACGCGGTAAGATTTTTTGGCTCCCGAGGACAGCGTTATATTGGGGTAGACGTGTATTTCTGTGTCTTTGTACTTGTTTCCTTCAGTGACCGGGGAAGAGGTTCAGCACTGCTCTGAGTCCCGTCTTCAGCTGAGGACGGTTGAGAAGGAACTGAGGGGGGTGTGGGACGTGCGCGCTCAGGCAGACTCTAACGAGACCTCAAGACAGCAGCTGAGCGCGTGTGTCCCGACCAGGCACTGCTACCGAAGCTCTCCGATCAGTGGGACACACCGTCACCTGGAATGGAGCACAGGGACAGCACTCGAATAAGAACCCCTGGGTTCTTTTGATTAGAGAACTGCTGCAGGGGAGGAAATGCAGAGGGAAGAAAGGAGCAGAGAAATAACCACAGGGAAGGGGAAGCGAAACAGAGAAATGAGGATGGGAGAGGAAAAGCAACAAAGACCAGGAATAGCAGCAAGTTCCCCCACTCAGTGCTGCTGAATGTGACAGTAAGTGACTGACTTAGCAATACATCATGAAAATAATCAAGAGCTTAGTTAGTATAAAAAGGCCAGATTCCCCCTTGAGCTCTGTTCAAACCTACCACTGACATCATTGGGAGACCAGCTGTAGACCGTAATTAAAAATGGAATTTGGCTCTCTTCTGCCAATGCGTTTGACATCCCTGCTTTAAGATACATGCAGTTTAGATAATCAGTCACTGGGTGTCACTGTTGCCTTGCTGTAAACATAAGATGCAAGAGGAGGACTTCATAGGGGCGGAGCACAGACTGGATCAGACCAGTGGTCTATATATTGCACTTCTGTGCATGTTTAACCCTCCGAGGCTCTGTTCTGGCTGGACTGGCAATAGAAGGAGCAGGAGGCCCCGCAGCAAGGCTGTGGCGTTGTAACTGCAGCTGATGTGCGTGAAACCAGAGAGGACAGGGCACGTCATTAGGACAGTTCTAGGTCGGAATGGAACACACAGAGATGGGTTACACACTCACCTGACCAAGCAATCACTGCGATAAGGAGAACCGCAAGTACTGTAGCTACGACAGCAGCTACGATCTTCCACGCACCACGTCTCCTGACCTTGGAGTCAAACCAGTGACCTATAAAAGAAGAAGCCATCAATACTCACTGGGCTGCTCTACAGGTAAAGGTGGGTTACTGGGCATAGGAACATAGGACTTGTCAGACTGGATCAGACCATCGGGTCCATCTCGCCTGGTGTCCTGTCTCTGACCACGGCCGACACCAGCTGCTTCAGAGGAAAGGGCAAGAACCCTGCGGTAGGAGATATGAGACAACGTGCCCCCAGGGACAAATCCCAACTGACCCCATTAGTTAGAGGCTGCCTTTATCCCTGAAGCAGAAGAGATGGACAAACCAGCTTAGTAAAGTTAAGATGCCACCACCATGAAGCTTGACCCATTTCTAGGAGTCACCCTGCTTTGAAATTGGGACAGTCTCTCGTCTCCCCTCGCAGAGGCAGAGTTCTGACCATTCCCCACCCACTTCTACCTTCTGTAGGACATCACTGTGGACTCAGGAGTCTTTAACCCACTCAGGATTTTCATGAGTGCCACTGGCAGGCCTGACCTCCTCCCAGATCTTCAGGGGTGGAGCTGGGAAGGGAAGTTTGCAGAGCCTATAAGAGGACTGCACTGTGTCTGTCTTGCATCTGAAATGGAGGTACATCTGGGCTGCCTGTCCCCGCTCCACCTTCTTACAGCTAAGAGGTGAAGACGCAGAGCTGGCAGACTAGGAGCAGTGCTGGGGTCTGTGCCGCTTTTACACACACACACACACACACACACACACACACACACACACACACACACGACGAGGAGG